AACGTGCACGAACGCGCAGAAACGTGCAGAAACGAGCAGAAACGCACGGAAACCCAGGAAAAAAAAACAATAAAACACACACACACACACAGAGAAACACACACACACACACACAAACACGTAGAAGCCAACACACGCACACTGACATATCTATTGATCGTCCACGCAGGTGGATGCAAGGTTGGAGCAGGGCTTGCTATTCTCAGGAAGCACGATGGGTGCGTAGCTGCGTTTTGCAGATTATGTTTTCGGTATGATTTTTCGAGAAGCCCCTTTTGGTTCGTGTTTAGCGGGAAAGAAAAAAAAACAGCCATTTTGAGGGGTTCCCTTATTTTGAGACAACTCCATACTGACAAATCAATTTAGTTTCTCGCTTTTGGGGGTTGATCAAAAGGTCCTTTACATGGGATGACCCTCTGGAAAAACCAACACTAATATTATATGTCCCACTAAATGGGAAAAGAATGGGAAAGCTACCCAGAGCCATTTGGGGGCCAGGAATATTGATCACCCCCATATACAGATTTTGCTGCGAGAGAATCACACACCTTGCCCAACCGTGCGGATTGTCGTGGTATATGCCAAATGCCGCAAAGGCCCGTTTGTCGTTTTCACCCTCTCCTTGCTCTGTGGCGCTTGAGTTTGGTGCGGCTCTTTTGTGCAAGCCAGCAGTGGTGATTCTGCTTCTTGGCATCGCCGATGTCGCCGAGGTGACGTGTCTCTGACAACACAGCCACCCTCGCCTTGATTGAGTTGAGAATGCTTTTGCATGCCATGGGCAACCCACCGTCTATCTATCGGTGAATGAGTCTGCCTAGTCCGTACAGTGGTTTGTGACCATCGGCGGCCAAAACCCCGCAACTTGGGTTTTGTGTACATTCATGCATCCAGGCCCAGATACTTCAGGCCTTGTTAGCTTGGCTCATGTTGCGTATAAGATGACCAGGGATGTTATTGTCAAAAGGATAAGGTCGGCATTGATTTGGATTACATCAGGATAACTACATGAGTTCACGCTGTGTGAGGAGGCTCCCATGCTGGCCGTCAAATCCCTTGTGCTTCGAGGGTGCTTTTTGTTCACTTATAGATTGCGCGTGGAAACAGCACCACACTGATGGGTTCACTCCAGACGCGGCATATTAAGGTTCTGGGCAAGCTGAATACACCTTTGTACCCAATCGCACTTTTGATCGGATTCTTTTGACGGTGGAGACGATAGAACGTGCTTACCCGTTTCCAGATATATATGTTGATATCCTGAGGTTCGGAAGGACTTTTGCATCGACATTTACCCCCCAGGGGCAAGGGTGCTTTTGATGGGATCTCAGTTCCAAGGCCGGGGCGATACATGGGTATGGGTCAAAATTAAAGCACCAGGAATTGGACCGCAGGTTTTGGTCCATGTTTCCACTTACCAGGGCAAGCCATTTTGGGGTTACCCTATTTTTGACCCACAGCCACATGGCGGTTCTGAAACGGCACAGAGATGCTGCGTGCCATTCCCGTACTTGCCAGGGAGCAAGACGCCTGCAATGCCGCCAAGAACTTTGTGGTGGATAAGAAGCTGCGGTCTTAGCGGTCTAGAATCTAGAATGCACTTTGCCGCTTACTCGGATCGACCTACAGCAAGAGTGAATCAGAGTTCTCGGTTTCTTCATCAAGGAGCAAGCTAAAGCTCTAGGATCAGCCACTTTTCAGACTTTTCAGACAGACCAGCTGTGGAATTGTTGAGGGACAAACTGGTGGATGATCAAGTAGTAGACCAGATATGATTTTGCTTTGAGAACATCGAGGATTCTGAAAGAAATCCGATTTCTCAGACTTCAGCGGTTCCAAACGACAGAGAGTGCCCAGATGTTGTTTCCTTTGCTTGTCTTTTTGTTCATGTGAAAACGGGGCTTCCAGATCTAGTTCTCAGCTGCCTTGTAGCGGCAGAATTCGACTTGAGATGAAAGATGCACGCACGCTAAGGTTGGCTTTGGTGAATTCCCCGTCTGCGTGAGGGGCTGAGCTTGTGGAAGGGTGGGGGTGATGTTTTTGATTCGAGTTGGGACCTGCACGGTTTGCGATCTGTTTCATTTATGATAATTTATTGCGCGATTTGTGCATCATTTGTGCCAGGTAGGTCAAGTTGGACCGTTGCGCCCAACTTTCCCTCTGGGGCAGTCTCAAAATTTTTGGAACCCCACCTTTGGATGGTTTTAATGGGAAACGAAACGAAGCACTTGAAGGAGTCCCTAATTTTGAGACGCACGAATAGGCAGCATAGTCAACATGTACACCCAATCTCAGTCTGAACTGAGCTCGCAGCTTGGGGCCATCCTAAAATGGCACCCGTTTCTCGTCGATCTCCGTGTCTGGGGGGGGGGAGCGATCCATTTTGAGAAACGTGCAGGGTAATTTTTTTGGCAGAGGGCCGGGGCACTTGCCGATGGATCTGTCGAATCGCAAATCAGCCATTTGCAGTACAACCTGCCAAGGTTCAAGTGCAAGTACATGCAGAAGCCCGGCTTCCCGGCGAACACGCCCTGCAAACCGGGCGACATGACCCAGGCGGGATTTCTCAATTTTCATACGTCTTCTCGTTTTTGCTCTGTCGGCCTATCTCTCTCTAGCTAAACACCCAAAGGCCCTCACACAACCCAGACAAGGTTCTTAGAACGTTCTGTGAAGGAGTTCTTAGAAGGGCTCTGGGAGCAATTTTTTTTGCGGAGGCCCCAATGATTACTTTATCCTTTGCTTTTTTTCTCTGTCTTTCTGTCTGTCTGCCTGTCTGTCTTTCTTTCTTTCTTTCTTTCTTTCTTTCTTTCTTTCTTTCTTTCTTTCTTTTGCTCTTTGTAGTGCGAGCTTGCTTGCTTGGCTTGGCTTGGCTTGCCTTGACTTGGCTTGTCTTGGCTTTGCCTGCTTGCTTGCCTGGGTGTGCGTGCGTGCTTGCGACTTCAGTTCTTGCGTGATTGTGTTCTTGCGTGCTTGCTTGCCTGCTTGCTTGCTCGCCTGCTGGCTCGCTCGCTTGCTTCCTTCCTTGCTTGCTTGCTTTCTTCCTCTGCCTGCCTTGCCTTGCCTTGCCTTGCCTTGCCTTGCCTTGCCTTGCCTTGCCTTGCCTTGCCTTGCCTTGCCTTGCCTTGCCTTGCCCTGCCTGCCTGCCTGCCTGCCTGTGTCTCTCTGTCTCTGTGCCTCCGTCTCTGCGCCTCTGCGCCTCTGTGTGTCTGTGTCTCTGTGTCCTTTTTGTCCTTTGTGTCCTTTGTGTCCTCTGTCTCTCTCTCTCTCTCTCGCGCTCTCTCTCTCTCTCTCTCTCTCTCTCTCTCTCTCTCTCTGTGTCTCCCCCTCCCGTGAATTGCCTTCGTGCCATTCCATGCAACAACAGGAATCGGCCTCTAAGGGAAAGAAGGGTCGGCAGACAACAAGGGTCGGGCTGTAGTCGAGAAGGCAGTGCTTTGTGCGGGGACAGACTGTCACATTGCCAACTGAAACGAACATTTCCTCAGCGAGCGGACCATTTCGGACTGCTTGAACCCATGCTCGTCGCAAGGATGGCAGTGGCAATTGGCAGAACGTATGCCTGGCCTGGCTTGCGGTGCAGTGCAGCTTTGCACGAGTGCTCACCACGAATGACAAATGATAAGCGCCTAAAAGCCCTAGCCGTGTTACTGGGTGGTTTTTTTCTACCGAAGGCCGGTACAGAGAAAAGTTCAGAGCAAGTGTACGGATTCTTGAACGCCTAGCATTGCACATCATGTCTTCATTGCAGCATCATGCCCAGAAGCAGAGACTGATGCCCCCCTCTTGCTGGGCCTTCAGCAAACTTTGTCCGGAGCCAGGTTTGTGCGGACAGCAACAACCAAGTCACCTTCTTCGAGCAGTGCCGTGGTGGCAATGGCAGGCAATGTTAACCCCGAATTGATCAACCCGTTGATTTTGATTGGGGGGTGTCCCCTTGTGGGGATTCAGACCACTTGAGGGAACACCCCCCCACTGGGAGGGGTTCTACTTAGATCCTGGGTCAACATGAGCTAGGTGTGGACATTTCCCATCAAGCACCAATGCTAAACCCCTGAGGCCCTGAGTCCTGAGTTTTCAGCTGGGCAGTCCTAAGCCTTGCCGGTTAGCTGCAAGCAAAGCAAAGCAAAGGCGCCCCTTGCGATGGATCTGAAGTCTCAGACTGGACTGCGGCCTCTCTGTCTTTCGGTCATGAGGACATGGTTGATCTGACAAGCCAAGGACTTGCAGCCTTGCCGAGTACCAGATGTGCGGGGCTAAGTGGTTTGGAAGCCCAACATATGCCGAAGGCCACTGGATGTTGCTTGTTGCTACCTTGTGTCGCGCTGCAATGAATGGGAACCAGCTCCAGGAACCTGCAGGACATGGATGCCGATATGCTGAAGGCGAGGCATGCGAGTTTCCAGAAATTGGTTTTGGCTTCCCAGGACAAAAACGGGTAGCGAGTTTCAAATAAAAAGAAGCACCGAACGTACTGTTGGAGCTTCTTAGCGGGAAGTAGTTTTGCGACCGCCCCAAGATAAACCCAGGGCGTTCCTTTTTCGGGACACCAACTGAGCGGAAACGAAGTTGCCCGCTTTCAGAGCGCAAGCCTTGCTCCCCTTTGAGACACGCGAACATGCTCGCAGCAAAGTTCCCGGGTCGTTGGGATTCGCTGCCGGCAGTGCTGTGTGGATCTTCGGGTCGATTTGGAGATATGGGTATTGGTCGAAATTACACCAGGAACTGCAGGTTTTAGTCCTTGTTCCCATGTACCAGGGTTCCATTTGCGTACCTGTCTTTGACCCACACCCATATTGGGATTCATTTGGGTGAGAGTTCAGGTGCGCTTCATCCGCTGTTGCGCGGAGGATTTTTCGGCGATTTCGCAGGGTTTGCCGCGCGTCAGTGCGCTTCGCGCTTGAGAACATCTGCGTGCAGGCGTTCCAGTACTTGGACTCGACGGTGGCAAGGGTGCCGCCCTTGTGACATGCAAGGAAGCATTTGAGGTATGGTTCGGGAAAATACGGATTTGGACCTCAAATTGGTTGTCGTCCCATTGGTTTTCTTGAAAGCTCAACCCAGCAAGGGTAGCCTCAAAGCCACACCCACACAGCTTCAGTCGAAACGGATGACAAGAGATCCAAGTCCCATCAGGTGCTGACGGCAGTCTCCGTTAACTTGGAGCAGGCCGCGCGGGGCCCAGCCAACTTGGACCTGGAAATGAGGGCACAGAGTCAACAGGAGAGGCATTTCAAGGGGGCCAAATGGGACCCACTCAGGTGGAACCCCCTCACTCTTGTTCTTTAGAGTGCTTGAGAGCGGCCTCTGGCCTATGTTGATGGGAGACCCCTTGATGTGAGACCCCATGAGACGCCAATCGCACAGTTTTTGCTTCACAGTCATTCAATTCGACTTGTGTGTTGTGTTCCTTCTTGACCTTGTGCCGCTTCGCGGCTTTGGTGTCAGATTCACGGCCTGCTTCGCTAGGCATACGCACTTCGCATTCCAATGGCCCTTTGGCCCAATGCCATTGGTGGTTCAAGTTTTTTGTTTTAGCGTAAGAAAGCAAAGGATTGGCTGAAGCGAAAACAACTCGGGGGGGCCATTGCCCTGCAACTTAACACCTTGTTCACCCAGTGACGCTGTGGATGGACGAAATCCATTTCGCACCACCGCTCAGAAACCCTGGGAATGATTCGATTCCCCAGCGTACATACCTTGCCATGGTTTCAAAGTGGTGCGAACACAGTAGCTTTGGGGACTTGAGTTTAAGGCTTCGCATAGCCAGGGGCAACTTGAGAAGGCAGCTGGCACGTGTTCGGAGGGCTCCGGAGCTTTCATGGCGGTGTTGGCGTGAACTGGGGCGAATAATCAGAAAGCAGAAGAATCAGAAGAATCAGAAGAATCAGAAGAAGAGGAAGCAGAAGAAGAACAAGCAGAAGAAGCAGAAGAAGCAGAAGAAGCAGAATAATCAGAAACAAATCAGAAAAATCAGGAAAAGTCAGAAAAAATCAGAAGAAGCAGAAGCAGAAGAAGCAGAAGAATCAGAAAAAGAAGAAGCAGAAGAAGAAGAAGAAGAAGAGGAAGAAGAAGAAGAAGAAGCAGAAGCAGAAGAAGAATGAGCAGAGCTCGAAGAGGAAGAAGAAGCAGAAGAAGAATCAGAAGAAGCAGAAGAAGCAGACGCAGAAGAAGATGAAGAAGAAGCAGAAGAAGAAGCAGAACTCGAAGCAGAAGCAGAAGCAGAAGAAGAAGACGAAGAATAGCAAGAAGCAGGAGAAGCAGGAGAAGCAGAATAATCAGAAGAATCAGAAGAATCAGAAGAAGCAGAAGCAAAAGCAGAAGAAGCACAAGAAGCAGAAGAAGAAGAAGAAGAAGCAGATTAATAATAAACGAAAGAGGAAGAAGAAGTGGGAGAAGCAGAATAATCAGAAGACGCAGAAGAAACAGAAGAAGAAGAAGAAGAAGAAGAAGAAGACGAAGAAGAAGCAGAAGCAGAACAAGAATAAGCAGAACTCGAAGAACAATAATAAAAATAATAATGACAATAAGAAGAATCCGAAGAAGCAGAAGCGGAAGAAAATGCAAGCCAGCCAGAAGCCAGCCAGAAGCCAGCCAGAAGCCAACCAAACCTCTTTTTTTGATAGCCAGAAGCCAGCCAAACCAGGCAAGAGAGGGCTGATTTGGCAAGGCAGCCTGGGCCTTGCAGGGAGTTAAGGAAGTGCAGCCTTTTTCGGGACGTCCAAGGCGATCGGCGCCTGGGCTGCTTCGCAAGCCCACGCGTGGAATTGTGCCATCTACTTTGCTTCGTTTGTGGGAGGGGCAGTGCCTGGATGTCCAACCAGAAAGCCAGCCAGAAGCCAGCCAGAAGCCAGCCAGAAGCCAACCAAACCTCTTTTTTTGATAGCCAGAAGAAGCAGAAAAAGAAGAAGCAGAAGAAGAAGAAGAAGACGAAGAAGAAGAAGAAGAAGAAGAAGAAGAAGAAGAAGAAGAAGAAGAAGAGCAGCAGAAGCAGCAGCAGCAGCAGCAGCAGCAGCAGCAGCAGCAGAAGAAATGGCTGAGGTGCGTGTGGAGGTGATCTCTCCTTTGCTGAATTTGCTCAGCTCGTTCGACTGCACCTTCATGAGGAACTTCTGGGAGGCGTGGGCTTGGGGCAATTTTCGGGAGCTTGGATCGCGTTGTTTGGGGTTGCCACGTTTGACGACATAAATTAGCACCAACGTTGACCCATATTGATCAACCCCAGTTTATTGATACGGGGGTGCTTTTCCCTGGGTTTAGCGGGGAATCATCACTGTTGGAGGATTCATGAATATGGCGTCAACATTAAGCGCATTTTTCAAACTATCACTTACCGGTCCTTTGATCAGGCTTCCCTTAGAGGGTGGCTGACAGTTGCGCCTGTATGCATTGCGCTTCCATCAAATTCACAGATGGCTTTGCGCATCCAAGTTCTACCAACTGGATTTGGTTACAAATCAAAGCTCTTAAGGTCGCATTTTTTTTCGGAATTGGCCGTATAACGACGGGGCTTGCGGCTTTCCCGTTTACAAATCGAGTCGGCGTTTGTTCACTTTGACAGATGAATAGCTTTTGTGCTTTTGTGGCAGTGCTTTTGAGCTGGGAATGGGCTAGAGGCCAAGGTTCTTTAAGGCGACCCTTTCCTTGCTGCTTCTCAGGGAAGGAGAAATGATAATGACCCCTAGAAACCATTCCCGATTTGGTTTGCTTTCAGGGAATCCCAAACCGTTGTGTTCCCAAAACCCGGTCTCGGTCATTGCGGCAGGGCTTGACGAGCGCCATGTGCTACCGCTCCATGAACGGCTTCCGCATGATTGCCAACAGGCACGGCTTGGGCGAGTGCAGAATCAGTTTCGAGGGGGGCCCGGCAACAGGCAGGCGGAGGAATGGCGAGTTCAACGGGCTCATAAGGGCCCTCCTACGCATTCATTTCCGTCCTAATGATTCACTTGGCCATGGTTCAAAACCAAGGGTACCATTTTGGGATAGGTGCACAACCCATTTTAGTCTATTTTGGTTGGGATTGGGATGTTGACCGGGGGTACAAAATTTGGGTTTTGACCCATGGCCACTTCTTCTCCTGACTTCACCTTTTCAGGTTGCGGGTTTACAAGGCACATGTTGAAGCAGATCAAAGAGGAGCTGTTGTAAGCGCCGTGCACGTGCCAGCTACGTGTGGGTTGCCATCCTGAGCCTGATCATCGTGCGAAGCTGAGGTCAGATGGCACCTCAATCGGGTTTACGTCCGCAATGCGATGCTTTTCCTGGATCATGAGACTAGGTTGGAACATCTTGACTCAATTCATGCGAGCTCAAGCAAGGGACAGACTCCGACCCCAGCATTTCCGGGCGGAGGGGAGGGATTGCGCGATTGTTTGGTTCAGGGCCCTAGTCAAGGCCCCTTGCAGTTTGGGAGGGGGATTCCACACCGAGCAAAGGCGCGAATTCAGACAGCTCGAACAGGGATGCAGAGTCAGGTTGCAGGCCCCTTGAAGAGCCCTTGCACGACAGCTTAGCAAATCTGACACTGAGGGCTTGTTGCTGTACGTCCCCTGGAAGTTCTCGAGGCGGGAAGCGAGACTTCTGCGGGGTGATCCGAAGCCTGAGATCTGCACCGCATGCGACGCGTGCCAGGGACAACTATGACGGCCTTCTGCGTGAGGAAGCGCCGGCTATGCAGGCATCCGGCCCGGTCGAAACAAGCTGGTTGCCGCCGGTCGAAACACGCTGATTGCGGCCTAGAAATGTTTGCGGCTCGAAATCTTGTGTCGAGTGAGTCGCAACATGTAAAGGCATTCTTTGAGAGATCAGCTGACCAAGTGCGCGGCTTGCCAGGAATCCTTGTGAGGCGGCTCTTCTCAGACGTGACGCTTGCGGACGCTTGCGGCAAGACCGGCTGTTCGGTCTGTGTGAGGTCTACGTGGGCTTAATTGTTTCAGATGTGGCCAGACTGCCACTACCGTGTCAAGACTTGATGCGGCGCGCTGGGATCGGCACATCGATTCTAGGGATGGAGAAGCCTCAGATTTGCAGAAGGTTCAAGGGTCAAGAAACCGTTGAGTCCATATGGCTGCGGCTCAAATTATAAGATCCAGACCAGTCCTGGCACACAAGCGATCCAGACCCCAGATCCAGACGAAACCGCGGGTGATCCAGACCGATGCATACCTCTGGATCACCGCGGAACGATCCATACCTGTTCTTTGAGCCTCTGCCTATGGAGGTAAGAGAGATATGTTCATCCGAACTTCATCTCAAATCTTTTCTTGTGCGTATGCAGATCTGGTTGCAACACACTCGGACCGGCTTCGGTCACCGCTTTTTGAGCATATGTGTGATACTTGGCAATCGGCTGTGCTGGTCTCAGCATCCCTCGCTCGCAAAGCATGAGCTTGGGCTGGTGGTGCAACGAGAAGTTCGGACTCTTTTGCTTGGACAAAGTGGCAGAAGTGCATCAGCCCTCTTTGGAGACCGAGCCTCTTTGCACACGCGGACTACGATTCAGGCATTGCCAGGAGCAATCGCACAGTAAACCTGGAGCTCGCCGCTATTTGCGGCCTGTGCACCTGGTTCTTTTCAATCTATGTGGTTGCCCTTTGCGATGCCTTGAAAGCTTCATTGCCTTGACTCTCGAATGAGTGCAGGACCTCGAGTTGTTGCAAAGCCTAGCCCTTGTCACGGTTTGATGAGACCAGGTGTTAGGAGTTTGGCGATACATCAGGCTAGGAGCTTTCCCATGGCCGTGATTGAGTTGAGCATTGAGTGTGCTTTGAAATTTTTCGGAGATTCCATTCTTGAATTTGGGAAATGGAGCATGTACAGGTCAAGACCTCAATTGTTGAAACCAGCGCCAGATTGCAGCCCGATGTGCACCAGAGCTGCTTCGCCCCCAAGGTTTTGATAGGGATCCTGCAAGTTTGGCAGCGCACTCGAGATCAGCCGTTGAACCATTGAACATATGGATGTGAGAGGCAAGGCAATAGCAATTTGAGAGGCTGCCTGACCTTTTCCAGGTGGACTTTGCTGGCATTGCTCAGATCAAGGGCCTTGAAGAGACTTGGCGAGAGCAAGCCACTAATGTGTTCCCCAAGACTGCCTTCTGCCTCCACTGGCATCCGCTGCCACCATGCCATGTTTGCCATTTGCTCATGCCAAAACAACTCCACCTGGCGAAACTGCACTGCGATACTTGTCACGCCATTGAATGGCGCGAGATACAATATGTGCACGCGCGCTGGATCTGACGACACCCGTCGAAGCCAAATTTTGTCAGCGACAAAGGGCAAAAAGCCGTGCCGAGGAAATGCAGATGAATCCATGTTTGTTCTTGGCAAAGCTAGGCACGATGCAGGGCATTGCTGGAAAGGTGTAGTTCGTCGTATGATGTCGCCATCTGCAGCGGGTTGCGGCCTGACGATGTGCAAATCGTTCTCGCAGCCATCCTATTTGAGTCAAGCGAACGCATATTCAGCCATAGCTGAACCCACTTGTTTAAGCAAAAATGAGATTCATGCAGAGCAGCATCCGGAGCCCATGACAGCCTAGTGACTAGTGAAGTGACTATTCGGGGCAAGGGCACGCGTGGCTTTCCTTTCTTTGGCTCGAAATACTTGAGATACACATAGATACACACTGTACGTCAGACAGCCTAAAGCCTTCATGTCAAAAATAAAGAGCCGGACTTCGGACGCCTGAAAACCGAAGTAGGCACTGAGCAAAGATCCGCTTTCAAGCACAGCTGGGGCCATTGAGGCGAGGCTGGCGATAGCACGCCGTGCATGGCAATGCCGCCTCAACTGGCTTTCGCCGCCTCTCCGACGTGCCCGAGACTGAGGACCGACCGCCGCATGGAGGCAACCGCCGGAAAGTGGTTGAAGTCAGATGGCCTCTCAGATGTTTGCTTCAATGTGGGTATGTTTTGATGGTACCTTTTTTGGTTTTAGAGGGAAACCAAAAAGGCACCCCACCATTTTGTATTTTTTCAGCAGAATGGCATGCTCGAGTGCCTGTGAGACTTTTTGAGTCGTGACTTGCACGTGAAGGAAAACAAGTGGCGAATTCAATCGGGGTGTATTTCTTAATTTTGTTAGGAATCTGGGTAAAGTGGCAGGGTTATTTTCGTTGCCGCGCAAGTCTGGGAAGAGCCACATATGGGTGTGGGTCAAAAATAGGTACCCACAATGGAACCCTGGTAAGTGGAAACATGGACCAAAACCTGCGGTCCAATTCCTGGTGGCTTAATTCCGACCCATACCCAGATCTATTTGCATGCAACTAGGTAATGGCTGGGGTCCTGGAGCAGCTCCGCACCATAGATCGGGCTACATCAATCAAGCGAGCATTTTTTGCAGCTGGACATCCTGGAAATGCCAGCTGACGTCTTTCCGGAAATATGAAGATGCTTATGGATGGATGGTGTCAGCCAGGGCTCATAAGAGGACACCCTCGCGCTCAGCATGGAATTGGCAGCACAGCGGTTGGCGATATCCGAGATTTTCGATTTGGGGGGCCATGTGCAGGACATCCCATAGACCTGGAAGATGGAACAGCTCTGAAGGCAGGGCTGCAGCTTGCCAGACTTCAACATGGAATACAAGTCCTCCAAGTCACTCCACATCATGTGGCCAAACGACTACTTATATTTGAGGATCGCTTTGCTACACACGGCACTCTTTGGAATGCTGGGATAGCTGCTTGTAGGCAGGTGGCTCTGGGTTTCCAGGTCGTGTTTGACAAAGATTTTTGAGGATGTACGTGAGAGCATCCGGTCTTTCCAAACAAAGTACCTTCTTCCTTTCGATGACTGGCTTGCAGTGTGCCAGCTGAGGGACAGCCCAGTCTCTGAGCACAGAAGCCTTGCACCTGATTTTGCATCTGAACGCAAATCTTGCATGTTGGAACGATTGCTCGATCGATGACGGGTGGGGTGGGGACCCCCCCTGCTTTTGCACTTCCAACCAAGTGCAAGGCGGCTTTGATTTGTCTGAGCATGCTGGAAACTAGCCTACTCGGCTTCGCCCGATGAGTTTTCATGGGGCAGGTCTTCAGGCTGGCCTCGGCAAGCTGTGGCTGAGCTTGGTGGAGTCACTTCGAGTCCCGGCAGCCTTGGGTCGTGCCAGGCCCGCAGAAGGCGCCGTCGCGCCAGCTGCGTCAAGCGCCTATCTCAATAGGTCCTCGTCAGGTAGCCCACAGGCCGCACAACTCTCCAAACAAAACGAGAAGGAAGCGCCGCGTGGACTCTGACAGCGACAGGGGCCTGCGCGGCCAAGAGGCAACCTTTGACGAGCTCACCGACCGCGGACGAAGCCGAGCTTGCGCCGCCCTGCTTCGGAGACAAGGAGGGGTGTGTCTTCGACAGAAAAGGGGTCCCTGCGAGGCCCGAAGCGGAGTTCGCCGAGGGCCAGCAAACGGTTGACTTCGCCACTTTCGCGGTGTTCACATGAGGTTCGCCAACTTGCAGCCCGATGGCAGACTCAAGTTGGTTGAGGTCCGAGCCCATGTTTGCAAACTGCTGGCAAAGAGCTTGGCAACCCTGTGGTGAGCTGGTTAGAGGTTTGGCGTCTGCTGGTGAGCGCGAGGAATGCAGAGAAGAATGCTGGTCGGATCCAGGCGAGAAGCTTGGGCCCAGCGCCTCTGAGTGTTCCGTCCTTACAGCCTGACCAAGCCTGTGGAGACATGCAAGATTTCCAGCTTAGCTTGACGCTCGCCGGAAAGAATACGGGTGTGTGAGCTGGCAGTGGGGGCTTGGCGAGCCAAAGGTTGACTGTGGCGCCTTCTTGCAGGCCACCGATGGGCGCTGAGCGGCAGAGCTGGCGAATCTGGATCGTTTGGCAATTGTTTCTGAGTGCAAATCTTGCGTGTTGAAACAACTGCTCCCCTCCCTTTTGCAGCACCAACCGTTGCGGTTGCCTTCTTGCCCCTCTTTGGCTCCAGGCGCAGAGGCGCTTGCTCAGTGCATAAGGCGCTTCCCCCCCTGTCCCGTGAGGGCTGAACATGGAGGGCAGACCAACAAACGACCGCCCAATTGGCGAGGTGCGTGCAGCGCGTGCGAGACTTCTTTCGCCAGACTTTGGGCCACCGGCGCTGCCGGCGCAGCCGGTGCAGCCTGCGCGCTCCGCCGTGGGCGTCACCGTGTGCAGGCGCTCCAAGGAAACGTAGCGTTGTATTGTTTGAGGAAATCTATGTGTTCCTGGCCTGCGTTCCATTGTGTTAGCTCAAACAAGCGCCTACTACATGCCCCTTTCAAAGCTCCATAATGTTGGGGAGGTCAGGGAGAAATAAACTATATAGCCCCAAAGCTCGCATGTCCGAGCTTTTAGCAGGCCAATGTGAGGCAATCGCTGGAACTTGTTGCCCCAATCGGCTATCAGCACTCAGGTCCCTCGTGTGCCATGGGCCTCAATGGTCTGGAAAATAGTCCCGTTCTTCGCTCAAACGGCGATGCTAACAGTGTAAACAAGTTTCTCTTTCCGCTGGGCAAACTGAATGTAGGTGACGCTGGCATCACCGCCCGGCATTTCATCATGCATAGTAGCCATGGCGGAAAAAACACCATGTAGAATTTGGTGTAGTTACCCGAGCCAAGCGTTGCACACCTCTCCCATTGTTTTGCCCGATGCTTGGGAGGCGCATAGACTAGATTTGAGGTAGAAGCACTGTTGCCCATGGTGTGCTCGTTGGTTTTGCGCATGGTGGTCGCCCACCTTCCCAGCGCCTCACTGCCAGGTCCGTTGTGGAGCGCTGGACGTGGTACCGCCAGAAGCGGTGGAGTTCATTAACAATAATGTGTTTGCGACTCGGCTTACAGGTGGGGCCGGTGAGGCTTACAAGGAATGCTGTTCGCACAGCAAGCAGGGCAGTCAGCAGATTGTGTGTGTGTGTGTGTGTTTGGAAACAACATGGCTAGGACAACCTTCAACCAAATGCACATGCTGACTATGAAGTGGCCTTTGCGAACTGACCTTGTGGCCGAAGCGAGTATCCAACAGACCCAGACGCACTGATACCCCCAAAATCAGGAGGGACATTTGTTCAGCATTGCCCCGAGATTACATATTGCTATGATTTTTAATGGGGAACCTCCTGCAAAGTGATTCGTGAAGATAAACTCCCACCTAAATGATGTCCACCAAAGGGTCTTGAAAAAAAACATATGGCTGTGGGTCCAAACCAATGGTACCATTTCGGGGTAGGTGAATTCACCACCCATTTGAGAACCTATTTTAGTGGCTGGATTGGGATGTAAGCACTGGGGGCTAACCGATTTGGCTGTTGACCCATGGCCATATGGGTGTGGGTCAAAATTAAACCACTAGGAATTGGACCGCAGATTTGAGTCCTTGGTTCCACTTGCCAGGGTGCCATTTTGGGTACCCATGTTTGACCCATGGCCATATGATTTCGCCTCGACCGACGTATTTTCGGTGGGTCAACGCCGCGCGGAGGAGATGGAGCACCCTTATCCGACCTTCGGGCTGGTGGATTCCGTGGACTCGCCGGTGGGCCACCGGGGACGGTGGAAGCAAGCGAAAAGAAGATGTTCGAAGAGAGAGACATCCATCTGGTTTTGCGGTTGGAAATCTGATTTTTCCGCTGGGACTTCCTAGAGCCAAGCGTGTCATTTGAACAGGCAGCAAGAGGCCAGAGCCAGGGATGGGTGCTGCGGCATTAGCAATCCTTGTGACTCACAACTTCACTGCACTGTCCAGGTTGTCACATGGTTGTGGGTCAAAAATAGGTGCCCTGGTAAATGGAAACATGGAGTCAAACCTGCGGTCGGGATCTGACATGGCGATGTTTTGTATGGTTGGGAGAAATTGCTAGGTTTGCTTTCCTTCCTTTCTTCCTTGCTTTCTTCCCTACTTTCTTCCTTTCTTCCTTCCCTACTTTCTTCCTTTCTTTCGGCTTTTCCTGCAGCTCCAGGCCTTTCTTTCCCCAGGCTCTGTACCAAGCCGTGCTGAAGTTCATCGGCGACAAAGCTGCTCAGCCGGCCACAAAAAAGCACCGCCACGGGAAGGGCACAATCCAGCGGCTGGTTTCTTTTGTGTTTCCGCAACAGCTGAAAGCTTTGGGGTCGATGAGCCCAGATAGGCTCCGGGGTGGGGGGGGGGGGGGGGGGGGGCCTGAGGTAAGGTTTTAGCAGGGTTCCACTAGGGTTCCAGCAGGGTTCCTCGAGGTTCCGCGAGGGCTGCGGGGTGGTATGCTGTTGGGGATATCGCCTGAGCTTATTTTTTCCTTTGAATTCCGACTAGAGGGTCCAGCATATTGAGAAGCTTCCAGGACACTTTTCAGTCATGGTGGATCTGAGACATATCTGCAGGGAAATCCCATGACTTTGTTCTATGGGATTTTCCACATGCTGTTTGTTTTCTTTTTGTTTTTGCAGCGCCGTTGCATGGCACATGTAGACGTTTCAGGCCGCACATCGCATCAGTTCGAAGATTTCTCTCGCTTCCGAGGGCGTTGGGAGTTCCTGGGAGTTCCAGGCCGGACCCGGAGCACCCGAAAGGCCGGGAGGCGACACGAAACATGCGGCCGGTGCCCAGAAAAGTGGCCGATGGCCACCCAATGCAGCGCCCAGCCAACTTCTGCGCAATGTCCAAGCGAAAACTACCATGTCCCACAGTGCACCAATTCAATTGCTAGCAGCGGCCAGCTTGAGGTTTTCGTCGCATTTGCAAAAGAGTCGCGAAAACGATCCTCAAAAGGACGAGCTGCTGGAATTTCTCCGTCAAAGTCGGATGGTCAGGTTGCGCTGCCTGCCTGGCCTGGGTGTGCACAGTGTACACCGCTTGGGCAAACTGGCAAGATTTTAGCACAAGAGCCGGCCCTAGTCCGTGGTTGTGGAGGTTTCTTGAGCTCATTTCCCGAGCGATTGTTTTTGGATCTCTCCCAATTCAGACAGTCTTTTGTGACAAAAGATGGCCCGTCGTGGCTTCAGGAAGCAGGATCTTTCTGCACCCAGCGAGTCCCACGGCCCTCTCAAAATGCTGTAGCTTTGGGCCCTGCAAAATTTGCAGCAAATCTCGTTCGCCTTTTTGGGCGGCCGTCTTTTCCATTTGTTCGATAAAGAGAAGCGCGGGTTTTAGGTGACATGGACGCGGTGGCCACTGTGCACCTCGAGAAGGGGCCGCGGCGGCAGATTGTGGCTTTCCTCCCGTTCGAGAAACGCGACTTGAATGGGAAAGGCTTGCTGGACGTGTCCGGGAGAAGCCTTCTCGCTCTCTCTCTCTCTCTATCAATCAATCAATCAATCAACCAATCAACCAATCAACCAATCTATCTATCTATCTATCTAATCTATCTATCTATCTATCTATCTATCTATCTATCTATCTATCTAATCTATCTCTCTCTCTCTCTCTCTTTCTCTCTTTTCGCAGTTTGGGCATCGGCACATGATTGGTGCGCTTTGGTCAGTCGCGCAACTATCACTGATTTTCAAATCTGGTAGTATTGCTTCCAACGCTTGGAGATGGATGCATAGTTGTGGCGTAACAACGTGAACACGTTGCATGCAAAGTTGGTTGCAAACATGCGGAGAAAATATTGTTTTGCATCCAGGCCTTGTTCTTTCATCCTGAAATGTTGGAAACGCCTATTCAATTTTTGAACGAGTCATTCCACAGCAATTAAGGAACTGATCAGTCCTCTACTCGCTTTTGTTTACGCAAAGCATGCTGGTCATGCATAGAAAGAAGTGGCTGGTTGTCTATGTTCAAGACCGTTGTTAAGTTCAATACACGCTTCCAGTAGAGAAGGACTCACAACACAAGACAACAAGCGCGAGTCCCAACATCGAGCAGAACATCCGGAGGAAGAGACCTATTACAACACCCGAGCAATCAATGGATAGGGAGGATGTGACCAGGCAACACCAGCATTGTACTCAAACAACATCCAGTTCCAGAAGCACAAGCAACTGGAATGTGCATGTGGAAGAATCTGAAGCTTTGAATCTGAGGGAAAGCAATTCAGCAAAAGCTGCCGTGTGTTTGAATGTTGGGGCTGTGGAATTGCAATCCTGACAAGTTCATCTTGGGAGAGATGTCATCATCCAGGAGACCGGACCGTTTCATCTGAGGTTTGGAAGCCAAAAGTCTACTATCACAATTCTTCGAGATGTGCCTGGCCCACTCGAATGTGAAAGCTGTGTCCGACACTGTGAGAGAGGAGGCGGAAGCCCAGGCCCGCGTTTGCAAAGCTGAGCTACGGTTCAAAGTCTCGTTTTGCGGATTGACATGTGCTCTTCATTCCAGAGAAAGAGCCTCCCCCCGCTGTTTTCGGCTGCTTGGCGTACAAAAGTCGAAGCGTGCGTGTCGCCGGACAGGGAGGCAAGTGGTGGGTGCAAGAGTTGGTGGAGCAGGCCATCAGAGTCTCGGAAAGAGACCACCGCCTCCGGCTCCGTTGGAGTCGGAGTCGTTTTTTTCCTTTTCCTTTTTTTTTTTTGGTGAGGGAACGGGGGAAAACAGGGGAAAACCTGCGGTTTTTTGCATGGCCTCTGGTAGGATGTGGATATGGGGGAAGCTGCTTAACTTGACTTGTCTGGAGTTGAAGGCGAACCGCGGCAGAATGTGTTGAGGCGAAGCATTCCGTTGCAGATGTGCGGTTCGCAAGGGGTCTGGGCTGGCAAATAGCCAGTCGCCCCCGACGGGGAGCTTTCCAGAGAGCTTTGCCGAGGAGAGCAAGAAGCAGAGGAAGGAAAGGAAGACACCGCGATCGACGCGGATCCGGATCGCTGGAGCGAGCTGAAGCCAGACGAGGCTGGGCCTGTCATGTGCTTCTGGTAGCCTGAGCCGTGCAAGCGCTGAACCTCACAAGTTCGAACGGGTCGAATGAGGCACTTGGGCATATGGTTGTGTCGTTTCTTTTTTTTGGGAACTCGCCAAACTGCTTGATTTCCTTTTGGTTTCCGTTTAGCACCAGCCCAAAGGCAGCCTCCAAAGAATGCCAGACGCATTTGGCGCAATCCTGCTCGAGCGTGCAATCCGCTAGGCAGAGAAGCGAGGGGCTCGGCGCCTAGGCGACGAGCGCGCGTGAAAGGGTTTGGGTGTTGTGGCCAGACTCATTTGGCTGGGGCTCAAAAAACCGGTACCAAAATGGGTTGCCCTGGCAAGTGGAAACATGGACCAAAACCGTGCCCAACGGCAAATGAGCCACAATCAAAACCCTTTGGTAGGTGGTTAGGTTAGTAAGGGGCAGTCCCAGCCATAGATAGCTGCGGATATCCGCCTTAGTTCTTGAAGCATGGTTCTGGGTAGACTCATTTGGGTGTGGCTCAAAATTAAAGAGCTAGGGCAAACCGCAGCTTCGAGTCTTTGGTTCCATTTACCAAGGTGCCATGTTGGTACATTTATTTGAGCCACAGCCATTTGAGGCGGATGTCTATCCTTTGGATGCCCACAACAAAGGTTTGGCCGACCCGCAAAAGTTTGGCGTTCTTTCTGGAGCATCTACGTGCTTGGGCTCGTTTCGCATTTGTTGAATCCGGGTTTGTGCTAGAGTGCCATTGCGGACTTTGCGACTTGTCTCAAGTACAAGCACAAAAGGGAATGTTGATGCCTGAATTCGTCAACCTGCCAGACAAATAGGGGCGTTTTCCTCAGAAAGCGAAAGTTCTCTCCAAACTCGCACGCCCCCTTTAATGATCCCGGAGATCCCTTTTGGGCCTTTCGTCTATTAACCGAAGCTGAGGATAAGGATGATCACAGATTGGGCGCCATTCTTGCGGCCAAAGCAGTCTGCGCGTCAATCTCTATGTAGAGGCGTCATTTCATTTTTTTTAAACAGCAGGCCCTTTTGCCTGCAAGCAACGGGCAACCCGAATGGAAGTGGAATGCTAGCACCATTTGCAAGATTTGGCAGACTGGCGGAGCCGGATATTTGTCTTGTGACTTGCAGAGGTCTTCTTTTTTTTTGATTTAAATGTGTATCAGCATCATCCTGTCAACGCTGAACTCACTAGGACGTTGTCTGCGCTTCTATCCAGCGCGCTATGTTGGGTAGCTGTGGTATCCTCATGATGCTGTCAACATCATCAAGATGTTGGCAACATCAGCATGATGCTGCTAGAACCATTATGATGCTGCGCCATGGTTCGTAGCTGCAGTGTACTATCTTAAAAAAAAAAAAAAAACAATAAAATTATTAATGGCTTCCATGTCCTCTCCTCATTGCACATTCTCAGTGGCTAGGATGAGGGCTGAGGCAACTCATTTTGGGACCTGCGGTGCAAGTAGATGTTGCAACGCGTCGCCTGATGTTGAACTCTCCGCTCACCCGCTCAACCTCCCCCGTTCCCAAGGGCAAATGAGCCACAATCAAAACCTGGGTAGATGAAGGTTAGTAAGGGACCATCCCAACCATAAATAGCTGCGGATATCCGCCTTCATTCTTGAAGCATGGCTCTGGGATTAGGACCATGCTATCATGCTAATACGATTATGACTCAGATGCGTCCCATCAAGTACAGCCGCGGCTGTCCCCAAGCTTCGGCTGTCCCCAAGCTTCAACCACGCCCCGCAGAGCCATGCGCTGGATGAAGCGCCAGCCGACGGGTTTCGTCAGAAAGCGTTTGCGCAATCAACCAAAACCTTATCAATTCGGGTCTGCATTTGTTTGGGCTTGGGTATGGCAATTACCATATCCAAGGTCTTAAACATCAGATACTCATTGTCCATTGGCGACTATCGGCGCCTTTTTTTGCGTCGAAGTTTATGCCACGAGCTTCCTCTGGCTTTTGCCATGGCCCTGACACAGTATTGGAATTCAAACACGCTGCCTCGTCACACTATCTCCCCCCTTCTTTGTGGTTTTGTTCTGGGACACCAACAGGAACTTGGGCTGGGGGGTGCCCGAAAAGAAAAAAAGGAGAGCCAGACACCCTTGCCATTTTTCTTGGGGGGGTGCCCGAACAAGAGAAAGAGAACAAAAAAGGCGACCCAGCCGCATGGATGCTGCATCTGGCAGGCTTGGACTTCGACCCCTTGGGACCTGCGTGAATCAAAAGCCCGGCGCAGTCAACCTGAAGCTACGGGATGTAGGTGTGTCTTGTTCTTTGGGAGCCCCAGAATGGTAGTTTCTCTTTGAATTTCCTTACCAACCAAAACAAGGGTTCCCAAGAAACGACACACCCATGTGGTTGATTGCAGGTGAAGATTCAAGTGAAGGGTCTACACATTCTTGTAATTTGCTCCGGGCGCTGCATCAGAGGATTGTTCGACTGGCAGTTCCTCACTCGTTGCCTTCTTTGCTCGCAGAGTTTTCACAGTGGCTGCAGCGCTCTCCAGGCAGCCCATCCAAGCAAAAAGCAAGCCAGTCAGCAAGCCCTATCAGGCTGCCAGCGAAGCAGAGAGCAGAGCGTCCACACGTCCTCCACACTTTGCAGACACTGGTCTGGCAAAGCCAGATCACAGAATCGCAAGGCCAGAGTTTTATGCCGCAGACTGGGTTTTGGCACGACGGTCTTTACTGCCCTGGCGAGTTTCGATTCTGCTTCGGTGGGTGTGTGGATGAGGGGTGGGGGGTGGGGTGGGGGTGGGGGTGCAAACGACTTTGACGTCGAAATGGAAGCATCAACAAGTTTGTCAAACCTCTGATGGCGGCAAGAAGCTGCGATGATAAGGTCTTTTTTTGAGGAAGATTCAAGCCGAGCGCCCTGCACCACTACACTAGCCAAGAATGCGTGTGTATGTGTGAGTCATGGTTGGATGTTAGCCCTGAGTCGGGTGTTGTTTTTACCTGTACGAGAGCCTCTCCTCCGGGTTCCATGAACATGATCATAGTTTCTCCGTTGAAGTTGGCTAGGTTTTGCAGGGCTCCTTAAAAGATTAAAAGATAGATTTTGCAACCATTTGAGACATGTTGCTTTTTCCACCAAAACAAAGGGACACCACCATTTACAAGGCAATGTTCAGGTGTATAATGTAAGGATCCCTGTTTTGTTTTTCAAAGCCTCTCGATAGGCCGTTGTCCTTCATCACGCATCTCTCTGTTCGAGCTGCCAGGACATGCAGAATTTCTTCCGCCCAAAGTTGCGGGGAGCTGAAGCTGCCGTGAGTGATCGAAATCCATATTTTACAGGGTTCGCGGAAGGTGCCTTTGATATCCTCCTTGCACTTTCTTGTGGACTGGTTGCTGGTTGCATCTTTTCTTTGGATGCCCTTATTGACAGGGAAACCCGCGGGAAGCCGAAGGCATACCCAGAAGAAACAACAAGAAGACAAAAAAAACAATGAAAACCGAGGGAGTTCGAAGGCATACCCAAAAAATAATAAGAGAAAAAATGAAAACCGAGGGAGTTCGAAGGCATACCCAGCAAAAACACCCAGGCAAATTGGGAGGTAAGTTCTCTCATCTCGCGAGGTGGCCGGACTCGGCTTCGGAGACGGTGCGCGCGCCTCAGGCCCATGACGTGGGCCACGGGGTGGCTCGAAGAAAACTCAATGAAGCGAGTTTCCTCTTGGCTCCCCTTTAAACCGGTCCCAATTTTGTGTTTTTGAGATCGACCCAACCAAAACCCGAAGTGGAGGTTACGGGACAGTCCCAACCAATGGATGAGGTTTGGATACCCTTGGCTCTTGATTCTGAATGAAGCCGTGCTGTTTTGGTATGCCCAGCGTCTTGGCTAAGAAATGGAGTGCAGCTCTTCGAATTCGCAGCCGGAGCTTCACACAAGTGCGAGCTGCATCTTGCTTGCCGCGCCGCGCCGCGAGGTTTTGTGGTTCAAAGAAGAAACGCCACAAGGATGGGTCTCACATGTGACATCCATTTCGCGGCAACGTGAAATCCCGACGCTTGAATTCCTCGAGCTATTCATTTCCAGCCGAGCTGATCATCCGAAGAAATTGAGCTGAGCTTGAAAAACCCACCGTAGCCGCCGCTCAGAAGGATGCTGTTGCCTCAGCTCGACGTGACAGCCATGGGAGCATGATGAATTGCGTATATGTCAACATGGCGGGGTTTTTAAAATGGTGGGTTTCCTGTGGTTTCCCTTTGAACCAAGGTGAGAGGGTGCTGTTAAAACACACACCCAACCCCCTTGAGTCAGAAAAGCGACAAATGAGTTTTGATGAAGGACGCGCTTTGATTTGACAGGGGCCAACCAACCAACAGTCTTCACTGACAGGATGAATCTATGATTCGCTTGAATGGCCGGCCACCAGTTAGACGTATTCATCCATCGGCTGACGGGGCTTTTTGTTTGTTTGTTTGAAGATGGGACTGACCAACACCATGGACCTCCCCCATAAATTTGCTGGTTTCATTCTGGCCAAAGCAATGCAGCTTCCCCATAAATTTTCTGGTTCATTGAATGGGGGGTTCTTCACTCCCCGCTCCGGCCGAATACGGCTGGAGCCTCTGCTTCAAGGTCGCAAGACGGCGCGCCGCCGCCGCCCCCACCGGGGCCTGCAGACGAGGTGCGAACGATTGGCCATGGGAGTTCTTGCAAAGGGGACCCGTGGGAAATCCAAAAAGACCCTGGTGTCTGAGACCAACAGTTGGATTCCTGTCAAAATCAAAGGGAAGCCTGAATTTCTCTAACTGTTGGATTGTTATCCAAAAGGAAAACTCATCATTTTTGCGTGGCACGGATGCAGCAACGCAAACATCAAACCCATGGGTGCATGCGCATGCAAACCCGGCGCGCAGGCCATGCCAGCCGCGCCGGCGGAATCGGCGCCGCAAGAGGCGACGGGGAGCTTTGCCGCTTGACTCGTCGACAGCCAGATATTGGCCAAGGTGATTTCGGACGGTGGCGCATGGATGCCCGGTGAACACTCGCTCAATAGATGTCAAGTCATTTGTTACATGCTGTTTCAAGCCAAGATTCATCTTCAATGCCGCGCATTTGGTATATTGCGCGAATCACTTCTGATGGTATGCTGACACATGAGTCTGATCCTCAAATACCGATTTATCACGTTATCCAGGCACTGAGAAAAAGGAGAGGCCCACACAGGGAAAATGCCGGTTTTCACCTCCCGACCGTCTGAATTCTGCTGCGCTCCCGCCCATCGCGTGGGCCATTGAGTCTCCGACTCCAAGCGGCCTTGGGATCCGGCCAAGTGCCGCACGCGATCCAAGAAAGGGGCCCTCAAGAGAATGGCCGGGTTCACAGTCGCCTCTTGAAGCCTCTCGCTCGTCCGTGTGGTTTGGACAAGTCCTTGTACGCAGTGTACAGCTTGCGAACACGAGTGCCTGTGAAGCGAGGTGAGGCGCGACTTCCGCACCGCATGTGCCGAACCAGATCTTCGCGCTTCTCCCGAAAGCCTGGGAGCTCCTTCCGCTGTGGTCTCTGCGCTGGAAGTCCGGCGCCGCCCGCTCGATCCAGTCCGCGCGCCAGGTCTCCGCGCGACGGAGCTTGTCCCCAAACGAAGATGAGCCCCCGAGTTTGGCAGTGCCGCCGCCGCCGTTCTTCACCTGGGGATGAAAGCCAGCTCCGCTCCACCGGCCCAGGGCGAGCAGGCGCCAGGCGCGGCGCCAGCTGCGCCGGCCGCGCCAGCTCAGGCCGGAATGGGTGGGGCGCACGCACACGTGTCAGTTGTGTGCGGTTGGAAAGGAGCTAAAGGAGACTCAGTTGAGCCACTTGGGTAGGGCATTTCATAAAATTCGGCGGTTTCGGAAGCTGCCTGAGGAGGGTGCTGAGGCGGCGCAGGACATCCCCGGGCCGGGAGTTGGTCCTGGCCCCTTGAAGTTTGAGAGTGTGAGAGTCTGATGTCGGATGTCATCTGCAATGACTCGGAATTTTGACAGTGTCTGTTTCCTCGCCGTTTGGCGAGTTTGACCCATGCCACTTCCTGGGATTTCCGTCCAGTTCACGTGAGTCGCAGAAGCATGGCCAGGATGCCCCAGCTCCGCCCAAGGCGCCCGAGCCGCCAAAGGCGCGCGGAGTGCGGTTTCTGCTGTCCGCCTCCGCCGCAAAAGCGGCGGAAGATCGGAAAGGCTTCCCCCGCAATCTGGAAGAAGCCATCGCCCTTGCCAAGGGAAGCGCACCCGGAACGCGCCAAAAGCCGTCGCCCTTGAGGGAAACTGACCTGGAATGCGCCAAACAGCGATAGGGAGCGACTGCAGGAGCTGGAAGAGGACGCACCGGCGCTGGCAGGCGCGAGCTTGGGCGGTCAGGGTGGCAATGCGGGTGCATTCGGATGCATAGAACCCGGTACCAAGTAGCAATGAAGACCAATAGCCAACACAGTGCAGAAAGAAAGGTCCAGCAAAGGTCATCAGAGTGAAGATTCCTCGACTCAACCTTTTCATGACAGCTGGTTTTGGCAAGAATGCGGGCGTTAATCGGAGACGATTTCAAAGACTCCTTGGGGTGCCGGCGCACCGAGCAAGCGGGAGGCGCAGCGCTATCTCGGGAGGCGCGGGAGAGGTGTCCATAACAATAGGGGCACCATCGAAAAGGGGCATGGTTCAGGGGTTGACGTGGGCAGCAATTTCCATTATCAGTCCCAGCCTGCCCGTGTAGCGAGTGTGCAAGAAACCGACCCTGACAAGTCAAAGGGTGAAGTTCCATTGCATGCCAGACTTCAACCTCTTCATTGGCTCTGCTTTTTGGGCAGCAATTCTGCATCTCACGGGTATTGCGCATGCCGTAAAAAGGTGAAAGCGCGGCGCAGGTTGGCTTCAACACTGAAGATACCACCATGAACGTGATGCCTTCGCAGCGTGGCTTTTCTGCAATGCCAAGGTTCAAATGCCAGGGTTGACCGGAGATGGCCCCTGTTGGGTGTGGGTCAAAATTAAGAAAAGGGAATTGGACCACGGGTTTTGGTTTCCATGCCACTTACCAGGGCGCTGGCCATTGTTGGGGTTACCAACTATTTTTGACCACCGCCTGTTGGCTGCAAAGGGCGCAGCTGACTGGTCCGCTTCACAGTCCAAGCCAGGGACGCCCTTTAAGGGACCCATTGCCCTGAGAATCAGAGGAAGCTTTCCGCACTGGCGGGGATAAGTCAGGGGTGCCGGGTCTGGACGGTTTGAAGCTATTGTCAGCTGG